GCATCTCTATATCATTAGCAAACATAAGTCTTGGCTCGAACTCTTATGACTTAGCTCTATAGCACGATTTGGATTTAAAAGAAGGGTAACAGACTCCTAAATGCCTTGTAGCTTCTTGTTTATATAATGTGGTGCACAACATATCTATAAACAAGGCTCTACTAGACATGGCTTGTAGACTCCCTAGGATAGAACTACTCTGATACTAAGTTTGTCACACCCCAAACCTGGGGAGGCGTGGCCGGAGCGTACCACTTTGTAACTGTGAACTTTGGAGGGGTAACCCTAAACTTAGGCCGATGAGGCCATATTCTGAATCATCTGATAATATCGCCTCTCTCATTTGAGGGGTAAACATACCCAAAAGCTCATATATATGTACAACTGTGCAGGTAGATGAGGCCGCCATGAACATCTACTAATATACAAAATATACAGGACTCGTCTACAAGCCTTTAGTGATAGCTGAACTCTATCATGGTCGGGGCAGGGCCTCGACCTACCCATCAAACCTGTATATATAAAATGGACTCCAAGGTCTACACCTGGTAACTTCGAGGAAGTGGAGCTTACCAACCAAGCTGATGTTTGACTTTGTCTACATGGAAGGTCTATCCAGCTGTCTATTAGGACCTGCAGAGATGAAATGCAGCGTCCCCATTAAAAGGGACGTCAGTATGAAATAATGTACCGAGTATGTAAGGCAACAAAATAACTAAAAGCTGAAACTGAACTGATAATATAATGACTGAAAGTAACTGGGAGTCAAAGATGATCCGAATATATGCTTACCTACTGATACTGACTGGACTCTCTCAATATAGTAAGTAAAATAGTTGTCCGGCCCTATAAGGCTCGGTACGTATAACTGCTCTGCTGTAGTAGGCTCACTCATAGGTGCTCGTCCATACTAGGCTCTATATCTCGGCCATTCTGGGCTCGCTCATAGGCGCTCGACCATAGTAGGCTCAGTATATAACTTACCATCTGATCAGAGNGGGAGAATACTGTAACTTATGAGATAGGATAATGTACATAAATTCAGGAGTACGAACTTCTCTTTATGTCTCGTTATCAAACGCATTTATTTACGAGATCATGCCAAAATGAAAGAGAGGTTTAGCCTTAACATACCTTATTACAATCTTTCCAATAACCACGTTAAACTCGTCGCGTTGCACCTTAATCTACAATAACGATAATGATACTATCATCAAGTTATGGAAGGTACAACTATCGCACAACGAATGACAAGCTTATTTTATAATAAAATGGGCAACATCTCCCCAATAATCTTTACTTCCTACCAATTCGACCTAACACCAACAACAACAAGAACACAATAATAACAAAATGCATACATCATTTTCCAACCTTATATCCATCACAAAATACCACATAACAGCCCACACACCCCAATCAGTTTATACACAAAACGACAACCCTAGTAGTGTCAAACAACCCGAAAATGTAACGACGAACGACCAGCCAACCACCCTGCCATTATGTGGTGTTTCTCCACACCCTTTTCTACTCCCAAACTCCATAAAACAGTAGCAAAAGAGACAACCCAACACCAACATGATACAACCTACAAAACGGTCCCACGAGTTCAACAACTCAAAACTGATTTTTCAGTTTACTAAAACATGTTTCGACTTGTCTTTTCTTTCAAATTGAGCAAAACAACCAACTATACATAATTAAGCCTCTTATCCTATAAACCAGCCATGAATTAAACTTAAAAATAAGTTCACACCCAGCCAACATTGATGCCACAACAAACATCATACCACTCTTTCGAAACTCGCTAGGTCTAGTCTTTACGATCGAGTTACAACTCGTACAAACATAGATAATGGAAAGAGAAGCATAAATTTACCTTGGACTGAGTATAACCCACGAAAACTAGTCCTTATTCATCCAAAATCAGTCCCCCAATGCAGCTACAAGAAAGAGAAAGAGAAACTAGCAAGCTGTCTGGGGTTTTCGCCACTAGAATCACATCGTATCACCCGAAATTACCTAGGTTTTGTGTGGGATTTTTGGAGAGGAGTTGTAGGGTTCAATCTGATTTTGTTGGTCTGAGAAATGAGTTAATAAGTACTTAAAAGTCCCCTCTTGGCCGACTTTAGGAGTTTTTAATTGAGGCCTCTCCTTTTGGTAAGTAGGTGATGCACCTACTTGTCACCTACCAGTCTGCACAGTCTAGCAAAAACGCAAATATCTCTTTACTCCAATGTTGTATCAATGAACGCTGTAATCCGTTGTAAACTAGACTCGTAGAACTTCAATTTTGTATGTAGATCATCCCGTAATTCCAAGTATATTGGAAGCAATGCTCAGCTATATTTGACCTAATCTTCAGCATATTTATGAATATAACTTGTGATAATCTTTGTCAACTTTTGTTTCACAACTCGCTTGACTTCAAAACATAACACATGACTATCATAAGACTAAAATAACTCATAACATAACCTTCTTATCATTTTGAGTACCCTAATCTCACCCCAAAAGTACATGTTATAACATTCCCAACTTGTCGACTTTTGATGAAACTTATTTTCTTCAATTTGTTTAGCTTCTAAGCCTTCTAACCATCTTGGTACTTGCAGTTCATTATCTTAAATATTTGTAACCTCCAAGTTAACATGATTAACTTATTTTATGTACTTTCAAAGATGATCTCATTTCTGAGCTTACATCAATTGACTTACAACGTACTCTCACGTACGAAAATATGGGGTGTAACAAGTAGAAACTAATCCTAATGGCCTTTAAAATCAATAACACTTTTTCTTAACATATCTTCAAGGATTTGAATAGTCTTCTCGGGCTGGTTATCCGTCTATGGGTGAAATGTTGTGCTGAGCTCCACCTGCTTGCCCAACTCTCACTTTAAAACTATACAAAAGTACGATGTGACTGAGTGACACAGTCCAAAATTATAGAAATGGGCATACCATGCAAACAAACAATCTCTCTGATGTAGATCTGAGCCAATCTCTTTGAAATGTAAGAAATCATCACCAGAATAAAATGCACGTGATAACAACAAGGTCGGGAATCCAAACTAGAGTAAGAATTTGAGAAGTAAATACGGAAGTAATAACAATAAGGAATTAAACGACTAGAATTAAAGTGCAGAAAATAAAGGATATGGGAAAATTCAGGAAAAGAATTATGAGAACTTCCAAGAACGCAAGTTCTATAGCCTTGAAAAGATCCAGGCAACACCGTTTTTGATTTATTGAAGTAATCAAACGTCTTTACTTAAAAACAAATCAAAAACAATAGATTCGGATCTTAACTACTTTACGAGTAACTTGAGAAAATAATTAATAACTAGTATTAATCGCCTTCTAAGAATACCACAAAGGAATCAATGATATCACAATAAAGAAGTTATCTTTACTACCTTGAACTATGAACTAATAAAGGTTGAAAGATAAATCTCAAAGCATAAGTAACAAAGGTTCAATAGAACTCTCAAACTATAATATTATTAATCAATAATCAAGTTCCTCAATGAATGAAAAGAACTCCTATTTATAGGAGTAAAAAGTCCTTAAAAATAGGTAGGGTGGCTGCCAAGGCATAAAAGAAACCCTAAAAGATTATTCTAGAATCATAAAATAAAACTCTAACTTGGAGGCTAAGTTAAAGACTAGAAAACCTAATAAAAACTAACAAAAATAAGAGGGTGGGCGGCCAAATCCCTTTGGGGCAGATTTGGGCCTTAAAACTACTACTTTGGATCATTGGTTTGGAATCCAATTGGGCTACTTTTGAAATACCCCCTTTTGGACCTCTTTTAAGCTCATATTCACCTATTCTATAAGAAGGTCCAGCTTGTAAGCATTGTCTCCAATCCTTTCAAGGACTTGAAATGGGCCATCTCCTCTAGGATGAAACTTTGACTTCCTTTTGGAAGAAAATCTCCCCTTTCTAAAGTGAACCCAAACTAAATCTTTAGGTTTAAAAACAACTTGTTTTCGACCCTCATTCTTTCTCAAGGTAGTTTGCTCATTTTTCTTCTCAATTTCAAGCATTCTTTGCTGATAAATTTTTTTCATCATCTCAGCCTTTGTCCTACCATCAAGATTAGCAATATCATTAGTAGGTAATGGTAATAAATCAAAGGGAGTAAAGGGATTAAAACTATAAATAACCTCAAAAGGAGACACACCTGTAGAAGAATAGATTATTCTATTGTAAGAAAATTCAATCACAGGTAAGTGATTTTCCCAAGAAGTTAATTTACCTTTCAAAATAGCCCTCAACATGTTTCCTAAGGTTCTATTAACTACTTCAGTTTGTCCATCAGTTTGTGGGTGACAAGAAGTAGAAAACAATAATTTAGTGCCTAACTTCCCCCAAAATACACGCCAAAAGTGGCTCAAAAATATATCACCCCTATCACTAACAATAGTTCTAGGTATACCATGCAATTTAACAACTCCTTTTACAAATAGATCAGCAACATGTGAAGCATCATTAGTCTTTAAACAAGGAATAAAATGAGCCATTTTGGATAACCTATCTACCACAACAAATATATTATCCTTACCACACGTTGTTCTAGGCAAACGTAACACAAAATTCATAGAAAGATCAAGCCAAGGAAAAGTAGGAATAGGTAATGGCGTGTAAAGATCATGTGGTAACACTTTAGATTTAGCTTGTTTACATTTCAAACATTGTGCGCACACTCTTTCAATATATTTTGATACACGCCGGATTACCATGCTTAATGAGGATGATTTCCAAGTTAATAGCATAGCATTTGAGTGCTTTAAAGGAGTCAAGATCAAGAAGGCTATATTTGTAATTTAGCTATTTAGGCTAGACTTAGCCTCCTTTACTAGCTAAGGGTATTTTAGTTATTTAGCCTAAATAACACTCTAGTATAAATAGTCATTCCTCTCATTTTGAAAGGGAGCTTTTGATGGTGTATTGATAAATAAAGACCAAACTTTGAGAGGTTTAGGGTATCTTTTATTTCTCTTTATTTATTATATTTTCTAGATTATCTATGTTAGGTTTATCATGCATGAGTTCATGTTCATCCTCTTGGGATTATCTTTTGTATTTGAATGTTAATTCATTGTTCTAGTTGATATATCTTTCAGGGTCTTTGAATTGTATTCTTTACTTAGCTTAATTCGTATTAGTTGTTCTTGTTCTTCCTAGATTAGTGTTTATTATAAGAACTTAAGGAGTCTATCTAGTTCATAGTTAGGTTGTTGTCTTTCTCTATTTTAAACCCTAATCTCGTATCTTATTGATTCCGTGTATTTTTGCATTTTCAATATGATTCCGTATCATCTTTGTATTAGAGCGAAGGTTAAAGATTGTTCAATCAATCCTTGGGTCATTGTTCTGTTATCATCAATCTGAAAATCAAAAATTACTAAAAATAGCAGGTTACTGTTCATCTGTGACTGAAATACAAATCGTATCTCCTTGTTCTTCTATGTTTGTTTCCAAAATAGAAATACAAAAGATTATCTCCCTCAATTTTGATTCTGAAACTTCTGAATTTCTTCACTATCTGAGATTGAATCACTTATTTGAGCTGAAATTCGAAGTTGGTTTGAGAATTGAAACCTAAATCGACCAACAGCAGAAATCGAAATTTGGAGGATTTGCTCCGAATCGAAATTTTGAGCTCGAAATCGATTGGGTGAGTTCTAATCTTGTTGGTACATCTTGATTGAGGTGAAATCTGATGAATTAGGGCCGATTTGATCTGAATCTCTAGGTTTGGGTTCAAAATATTTCGAAGCTGCTTCAGTGGAGAAGACGGCCTAGGGTTCATCGATTTAGTGAGCCTTGTTCCAAATTGATTTAGGAGCTTTGTTCGAGCTGTTGTTGGGAGTTTGTAATCCAAATTTGAGCTCCATTGGTGAAGGTTTGGGTCAGTGACGAATCGAAAATGCTGTGGCGGAATTCGACAAAATTGCAGCTGTGTTCTTCATCCGCTAGGAGTCGTTTGCTACTGATTTGTCGCCTCGAACATCAATTCATCGTCACACACAGGTTTGGTACTTCTAAGATCAACCTTGCTTCATTTTCTGAAAATTCATTCATCGCAACATTCAGTTTTGATTCCTTGAGAATAAGCACTGAATTTTTACTCGATTGTCTGAGTTGATTGAGTCTGAATTCGTTAGTCGACTCGAAGTTGTTATTAGTTTGAAATATTGTATGAAGTTCTGGTTTATGAATTCAGTTGAGAATTTTGATTGAGTTTCAAAGTGTTAACTGAAAGATCTCATTGATAGCTTGGTCGAGGTTCTGTATTTGCTCTTGTTGTTGGTAGTTGCGCATGAGTTTCTGAATTCTATTGGAGCAAAGCTTATGAAAATTGAAAAAAAATTGATAAACAATTGAGCAGATTTCAAATAGCTACAGCTTAGTTCTTCAATCCAGATTGTTTTACTGAGCTTCAGTTGCCAAGTTTTCTAATTTCAAGCTCCTTGAAACTTAAAGAGGAGTGAACAGATTTTCTTTAAGCATCAGCTCGACACTGCCCAGTTTTCTTAGCCAAAGTGGGATTGATTGTTGCTGTTGCTAGCTCTAGAATTGGGTTGGAATTTGAATCTAAGTGTTGAATTGAGATTGGTTACAATTCTTGTGCACTTTTGGACAGTTTTCTGCACTTTTTGAGCCAAGTTTAGCTTCAGTTTACTGCAGCTTTATAGCCTGTTTGGCCAAGCTTCTTTCGAGGCAAAAGCGCTTTTTTTTGGGTCAAAAGTGTTTTTTTTTCTAAAATTAAGGTGTTTGGCCAAGCTTTTGAAAGGAAAAAAAAGTGATTTTGAGGTGAAGCAGAAGCAGTTTTGTAGAAGCAGAAAAAAGTAGTTTCTCTCCAAAAGCACTTTTGAGAAAAATACACTTACAAGCAGGTTTTTAAAGCTTGGCCAAACACTAATTGCTGCTCAGAAGTACTTTTCAAATTAATTAGCCAAACACAAATTGCTTCTCACCAAAAGTACTATTGAGAAAAGCACTTTTGAGAAAAAACACTTCTCAAAATAAACTGATTTTTGCAGCTGGGCCAAACAGGCTATTAGACTTTCTACTGTTTGATTTGTTTTTCAGAAGTTCTTCCCTACTGAACTTCTACAGTTTGGTAAACTGCTTAGCTGCTGTGAAATTGGTTGACGTTAGCTGATTTGAGTTTGATCAACTATTTGAAATCTGCTAATTTGAGGTTGGATGTTTTGGAGTTTAGTTTGGACTTGAGTTTGGCAGAGGAAGCTCAACAGTTTGAGAATTCATTTGTGAGGACTAAACATTAAATGTTGTTGCTTACAAAAATCTTGTGATAGCACCTGCAGTTCTGCCAGATTTTGTTAATTTGTCCAAGATTAATTCTGCAGCAGATTTTCAGTTTCTCCATTGTTTAGTTGCTAAAAATCTGAGTTGCTACCCAGTTCTGCACTAGTAGTACTCTGCAAATTATGTGTTGTTTAAGCTGATTGTCTGCACTGGTTAGGTTTCTGACATGGCTGCTAAAGTTTAAATCCTTGGACTGTTTTAGGGTGTTATTGACTGAGAAAAAAACCAGAAGAATTTTCAGGCATTCCAGCTGCAGTTTGAACTAAATCTGCAGTATTTGAACTTGTGTTTGAAGCAGAAAACCAGTTGATCTTTGGGGATTGAAAATCTGTGAATTGAAGAGGCCTATAGCTGCTGTTAAGTTGAATTGCAAACTGCAGGTTGTAGTTCCCTGCTGCTACAGTTTGGCTGCAATTGTGAACATCTTCAGTAGCTTGCAGTCACTGATGAACTTTGCATTTGAGCTACAACTTGGAGTCTTTTTACAGAATTGTGAAGAAGATTGCTCAGGAGATCACCAACAGTCTGCAACCTTGTCAGTTATTGTGAGGCTGTCCAGAATTGCAGATTTGACCAGTCCTTACCTATGTGGCCATTCTTTGCAAATCCGACCAATTTTACAAAACTAGCCAGTTTTTGAGAATATGACCAAAATTTGGATAAGTGTCTAGTTTTGTAGTTTCTTTTCTTTTATTTCTTTTCAATTTGTAGGAAACTCAACTCTTAACAAGATTAACTTGATATTAGTTCATATTGAGTTTATTTCTAGTTTCTTTGTGTGCTTTTGTCACGACCCAGCCTAGGCCCGCGATGGATAACCGATACTAAGTGTCGATCATCACTAAACTTGTTGATAATCTAATAATCATAAATATAAACGGATAAACTGAACAAGCATAAGCATAGCTGATAAGAACTGTACAATCTGGAAAGCTGACAAGGCTAACACAAGCTGACATATAAAAATGTATTAACTGCACAGGTGCATATCTACAGGCCTCTAGGAGTGCTGAACTGAAAAAGTACTAGACGGAACAGGGCCCCGTCATACCCAAACTAGCTGACTGTACACATACCAAAAGATAAGTAATTCCGGGAGTAAGCGAGGTGACTCCAACAACTGGTGGATGGCCTATTGATGTGGCTCAAACGTTGATCTATCTGTACCTACGCGACATGAAACGCAATGCCCCGGAAGGGACGTGAGTACGATATGTACAAAGTATGTAGGGTGGAAATCTTAATATAAGCTTAATATAACTGGTGTTATGGTCTATCCCCCCCCCCCCCCCCCCGTATAATCAATTGGCCTCGCTGGCAGTATATAATCAATAGGCCTCGCTGGTATTATGGGCTATATCCCTCCAGCATAATCAACGTAAGCATGTATGAGGCATAACACATGTGGCAACATCATATGGACTCAAGAGATCATGAAGGAAACCATAAACGGAATAATAAACGTAATCTGACGCTTGTCGTTCATAAGTTGGACGGAGGTGCCTATCCCTATTTTAGGGAGAAACTGAACATGTACAAGAGATACCAAGGTTAATTAACTCATTAGGATCCCTTTATAATCAATTTAGAACCAAGAAACTCAAGATTTGTCCAACTCTTTGAATTTCCAAAATTTTTGGCAGAGTTTCACCTAAAACTGGATGATCCCCAAAAATAATAGCAAGCACCACAATATACACGGGAATGGATACCCGACCAAGATGATAACATCAAACTAATGGAGATCCAGTTATCCACAATAGTGTCAAACGATCGACAAAACGGAATTGTGAATGTAATGTCGACTCAGAGTGACTAACTTGTGACATGAAAGTCTAAATATGATTTAGGAATAATCTAAGCATCAAAAAATGACAATTAAGCTTATATAATCTTAAATGAAGATATTAGGATCATATGGGAGTTAGGTATACATAAAAACATCAAAGGAACGAAACAAACGGAATTCCGGATGGCATAGGCCAAATTGGCGATTTGCCCTTTTGTTTTTGTTGTGTTTTGAAGCTCCAACCGAAACTATTTTCTTCCATAATTCACATATGGAATTGAATAATATACAAGGATACAATACATGCTGATATTTTTCTTAAAAAAACCTTAAAAGATCAAGAAGAAAGGCTAGAACATAGCTAAACCAAATCATGCCGAAAACAAAATGAAAATCCTACATACCTCTTGTGTTCTTGCTTCCAAACCTTGTTCCCTTTGATACACACCCTTACTTATGCTTTTATAGATAAAATACAGAGGTGACAAGCTTCCTTAGCCATAAAGCTCTTTCCAAACCTCGAGATATAAGGATAAAGGTAGATGGCAAAGTCTTACCTATGTCGTAAGGATCGCGTTGATGTGTTCACGTCTTGATTTTGAGTTGTGGATGATGGAATTGCTTCAAAGCCCTAAGGATGTGTTTAGGAGGTATATAGAGAGTTTTTTGGTCTGATTTGGATCGAAATAAGCCTTATAGATGAAGGCTACAACTTTATATATATCAAGATAATCCTCAACCGACCTTGTGGGTCCCAAAGGGAACTGCTTGCGCAGTCTCGCGAAAATGCGAATATCTCTCCACTCCGACGTTATATCGACGAACGGTTTAATGCATTGGAAGTTAGACTCTTAGATCTTCAATTTGGTGGGTGGATCACCCCGAAATTCGGATTAATTGAGAGAAAAGATGAGTAACATTAGACCTAAATTTTATATAAAATTATGAACGTAACTTGCGACAACTTTTGTCGACTTTTGTTTCATAACTCGTTTGACTTCAAAACTGAACACACGACTAAAATACCTCATAAAATCACCTCCTTATCATGTTAAGCACCCGAGTATCACCCCAAAAGTACGGGTGATAACATTCTCAACTTGCCGACTTTCAACAAAAAGTTATTTTCTTCGATTCGCTTAGCTTCTAAACCTTCCAACCCTCTTGGTACTTGCAGTTCATAATCTTAAATATTTGTTACCTCTAAGGTAACATTTTTAACTTACTTTATGTACTTCCAAAGATGATCTCCTTTCCGAGCTTACATCAACTGACTTACGATGTACTTTTATATACAAAAACATGAGGTGTAACATCATTCCCCCATTTGGAATATTCGTCCTCGAATGTTGACTGGTGCGCTTATCAGTCTCATAACCTATAGCTCTTACGAATACTTTTATACTGTCCTTGCCATCTAGGCAACTATTTTGCGAATAAATTCAAAGGCCAGGGCATTTCCCCCTTTAGGCCTCTTTCTCATACCACGACCTATAGTCGGAATTCTTCCAATCTCGTAACTGTTGCTACCTTCTGTCATGCAGCATGTACGATTATGTCCTTGTACGCGCTATGCGACTCTTCTCTCCTTTTTTTCCTCTCGCTTTGTGAATATATACAGAACTCTAGGTATCTATAGGTGTATTGAAGTTCTTACCTTGGTACTTTGTCGAACTTACGACTATTGCCACATTTTGTTTCATAGCCTATGTTATCTATCCTTATGGCTTTACTGCATCTAGGTAGGTCATACTATACCATAACACTTACTTCGGTTTATTATTACCGAGGTATGCTACCCAACTTCAGGTTACTCTCTCGCAACTTATCTTTATCCTGTATGTATAAATCTAAGTCCTTTAATGCTTCTCATTCTGTTCATCTTAAGAATGACAGCCTAATCTCATCTCATACTTTTGAACTTTTATCCAGCTATTGTTGATTCACCTTAATGTTGATCTATAATCTACCACTGATAACTTGAAACCTCTTACGTAATACATTGTCACTAGGGCTCACATCTCATCGAGGAACATCTGAAGTTATTTGCCTGATCTACCTAGGGACGATACTATACTTCAATAACCGTATTTCATAGCATCTCAATGTGATTCATCTTGGGGGTATTCTAATCCCGTGCAATTCATGAAATCCCTTCTCTTTGAATCATTATTCAATAGAAGTCTTAAACGTCCTCATTCTATCATTTACCACAATTACACTCTTATTCTATTACTAGGGCAACATTCCATCTCTTCTAAATGCTCCTAGTCTTAAACTCCTCTGAGTTCATTCAGGCTATACTGAGCTTTCTATAACTTACGGAAATCATTTGCTCTATTGTTTTGATGTGCTCAATCCTGAGGCCTACCTATTCTCATCACCTCCCCACTCACCTATTCTTATCCTTACTCCGGTCTACCTAAAACCTTGTCGCTCTACCATACTTTAGTTTGCGACCTACACGTATTTATTCTTACTACTCGCAACCTTCATTTTACTTGCTAGTGCCATAGATTTCCTTTTGTTATTCTAGAACCTCAAGCGAGACATCACGTTGCCTCTAACTTTAACTTGATGGTAGCCTGATCTCAAGTCTATCTTCGAGAAGCACTAGGCATCCTGAAGCTGGTCGAACAAGTCATCAATTCTAGGAAGGGGATATTTGTTCTTGATCGTGACCTTGTTCAGCTGTTTATAATCTGTACACATACATAGGGGCCATCTTTTTTTTTCACAAATAAGACTAGTACTCCCCAAGGAGAAGTGTTAGTATAATAAATCCCGTATCTAATATATCTTTCAACTGCTTCTTAAGTTCCTTTAATTCAGCCGGTGTCATCTAGTAAGGAGGAATAGATATTGGTTGCATACCCAAAACTATATCAATGGGAAAGTCAATTCCCCGATCTGGAGGAAGACCTAGAAGCTCATCTGGATATACGTCAGGAAACTCATTTACTATTGGAATTGATTCAAGGGTTGGCATTCCCTTCTCTATGTCTCGAACATGAACTATATGATATAAGCATCACTTGGCGATCATCTTCCTTATCTTAAGGTACGAAATAAATCTACCTTTTTGGCGATGCGGAAAAACCTTTCCATTCTATAACTGACCCTTATGGAAAATTGAACTAGGCCATCTTCACTCTACAGTCAACATTAGCATAGCAAGAAGACAACCAATCCATACCAAGTATAACATCAAAGTCAACCATTTCTAACTCAATCAAGTAAGTTTTAGTACTGTGGTCGCCAATCACAACCGTGCAACCTCTAAAAATACGCCTAGCTACTACTGAATCACCAACTATGGTGGCTACCTCAAAAGGTTTAATGGCTTCTTGTCCTATCCCTAACTTAGTAGCAACAATGGGAGTAACATATGATAGTGTAGAACCAGGATCTATCAATACATACCATTATGACAATTCACTGATAAAGTACCTGAAACCACGTTTGGTGAAACCTCTAGGTCATGACGACCAACCAGAGCGTATGTACGATTCTGGAGACCGCCTATAGTAGGAGCTCTGCCTCGGCCTCTACCACGGCCCGCTGGTGTCTGAGGAACTTGCCCTTGCGGGCGTGCTGGTGCTAAAGAAGCTGCAACTAATCTCGCTAGCTGAGCTGCACCACTACCACCCCTAGATGGGTAATCTCTCATAAAATGGCATGACTCGCCACAAACATAACATGCATCTACACCCAACTGGCATCAATCCAAGTGGCGTCTACCACAGTCAGAACCACCCTGACAAGCTCTAGACTGTGGGGGTCGATCAGATCTCGGCCCTTGAAATCGTGAAGGAATACTAGCTGCTAGTTGCCTAACACTCTGCTATCTACGAGCACCAGATGTCTCACTAAACGAACCTGAAAATTTGCCTCTCTTGCTTGAGCCTCTATCTCTGTCATCCCTCTACTTCTGTTTCCTTTCCTCAAGTGCTAAGGCGAATGCCTGAATACG